AGATAGCATTTCTCTATGTTGGCCAGCTGGTCTCGAACTCCTGACCTCAAATGATCCACCTGACTCAGCCTCCCAAAGTGCTGGGATTACAGGTGTGAGCTACTGTGCCCGGCCCTGATATATTATTAATAGTACTCTCTTTCACTCTTGAAAGCATTTGAATTTAAATGACAAGTTATATCTTTCTCCCTTTACAGTAAGCTTGAGAGACCAAACAACCAAACACAGCGAATTAATCATGAATGAATTCTTATTTGGGAAAACAAACTCTGAATCTATATGTTTTTAGACAACTGGGTAATTTGAATATGAACTGTTATTAGATGAAATTATAATTTCGTGAGGTGTGAAAATAGCATCATAGTTATAAAAATATCATTTTTTATAAGATGTTACTAAAATATTAGTTGCAATGGCTAGATCTCTGGGATTTACTTTAAGATAATTCAGCAAAAAATAAGATAGAGATGAAATAGTTTACAGCAAAATGTTGATGATTGTAGAAGCTGGTGATGGATATGCGGGGTTTTGTTACACATATTTTCTTCCTTTATATATATTTGACAACTGTCATAGTAAAAAGTTTGAAAGCAGTGCCTGGCATGTGGCTTTGGTTATTCAGGGGTGACACAAACATTTAGCTTTCTTTTTGCTCCTCTTTTTATTTTGGACTGGTCTCACATGTCTGGCTAGAGGTCAGATTGGGACATGAAGGAGGTAATTTGTCCATAGGTCTTCAAATTTTGTGTTGATACATAACAGCTATTATGTATCCTGGGTTGCATGTGATATTTAATGGAGTGCACATGATATTTTGATACCAGCATACAATGTGTAATCATCAAATCAGGGTAATTAGGAGATTCACCACCTCGAACATTTATCATTTCTTTGTGTTGAGAACTTTCCAGATCCTTCCTCCTCACTTGTGATGGTTGACACTGAGTGTCAACGTGATTGGATTGAAGGATGCAATATTGGTCCTGGGTGTGTCTGTGAGGGTGTCGCCAAAGGAGATTAACATTTGAGTCAGTGGGGAAGGCAGATCCACCCTTAATCTGGGCGGACACCATCTAATCAGTCACCAGCGAATATAAAGCTGACAGAAAAACATAAAGAAGACACAGGCCTAGCCTCCCAGCCTACGTCTTTCTCCCATGCTGGATGCCCCCTGGGTCTAGCCTCCCAGCCTGCGCCTTTCTCCCATGCTGGATGCCCCCTGGCCTTGAACATCAGACTCCAGGTTTTTCAGTTTTAGGATTTGGACTGGCTCTCCTTGCTCCTCACCTTGCAGATGGCCTATTGTAGGACCTTGCGATCATGTGAGTTAATACTTAATAAACTCCCCTGTCCCTCTAAGAGAATCCTAATACATAGCTGATTTGAAATATACAAAAGATTATTGTCATGTGCACCAGCTGAGGGAGTTACTCTTTGGGGAATAAGATTAGAAACGCACATAAGCGATAATTTCCATTTCCATTTTTTTGTGGTTAATCTTATGGAGAGGTGTTGACTACAGTTTGGGGTAAAATTCAGGCATTCATGCATTTGTAGGTATGAAGAAATATAGGATTAAGGCCAACTGTAAATTACTGCCCAGTGGAGTTAATCAAAGCAAGCACCAGGTAGTGGAGAGAACACGAGTTTGGGGTCCAAAAGCCTTGCTCTGATTTGTCGTAGCTGTAGGACCTAAGGCAAGTCGCTTAACTTCTCAGAATCCTGGGTTTCTTACCTGAACATTGGGAAGATAAATCCTTACTTCTCAGAATAGGTGGGAGGAATAAATGCCAAAAATGTATTAAAAATGATAGGCACATAGTAGAGGCTTAATGAACATTTCTTCTCCATCATTTCCCGAGTTGAGTGGTGGAAGTTTCAGATATCAGAAATTCACATTCTATTTTAAATACTATCTTATGTCTAAAGATGCAAGTTTTCTAATGATTGAATAATGTGTGGTTCTTATAGAAGACTTAATGATGTTTACTCATTGCCGAAGATCTAAAAGATTATAGATCCATATAAAAATAAAAATCTTCCAGCCAGGCACGGTGGCTCAAGCCTGTAATCCCAGTACTTTGGGAGACCGGGGCGGGTGGATCACGAAGTCAACAGATCGAGACCATCTTGGTCAACATGGTGAAACCCCGTCTCTACTAAAATTACAAAAAATTAGCTGGGCACAGTGGTGCGTGCCTGTAATCCCAGCTGCTCGGGAGGCTGAGGCAGGAGAATTGCCTGAACCCAGGAGGCGGAGATTGCGGTGAGCCGAGATAGCGCCATTGCACTCCAGCCTGGGTAACAAGAGCGAAACTCTGTCTCTAAATAAATAAATATCTTCCATAAAACCATGAAAGATATCAACTGTGTATATTCTGTAGCATGGTCCACTTCTGTTCTCTCTCTGAATATGTAAAAATAGTTGGGGTCATCTTATGTACAGATTTTTCTAGCTTATTTTTGAAATATGATTTTTTCTCCCGGTAGATTATTGTTCTTTATTGATTTTTTTAATTTATTTTTGAGACGGGGTCTCTCTCTGTCACCCAGAATGGAATGCAGTGGTGTGATCTTGGCTCACTGCAACTTCTGTCTCCCAGGTTCAAGTGATTCTCCTGCCTCAGCCTCCTGAGTAGCTGGGATTATAGGCTGGCGCCACCATGCCAGCCTAATTTTTTGTATCTTTAGTAGAAACAGGGTTTCACCATGTTGGCCAGGCTGGTCTTGAACTCCTGACCTCGTGATCCACCCGCTTTGGCCTGCCAAAGTGCTGGGATTACAGGACTGAGCCACTGCACCCAGACAGGTTATTTTTTTTAATGTTTAACAATAAAGCATATGAGATCTTGGAGTTAGATCAGCCTACATATGAGAATTTGCAGCTGCTATGTCTTACATATTTGTCCCTGAGAAAATCCCAAATCTGGTCTTGCAGGGTTAGTGTGGAGTGTCAATGACTTAAAGTCCATAAAACTTTTAACACGGTTTCTGAAACAGCGCTTATAGAATGATGGTAGCTATTACTGATGTGAATTAGACTTGTCAGTTAGGCTAGGTTATGCTTCAATAACAAACAGCACTGAAATCTTGTGACTTAACACAACAAGTCTGTTCTTTACTGCAGATTGAAACCACTCTCTGGGACAGCTCACTTCCCAGTCACCACACAGTTTAGAGCTCCAGGTGTTTTCCATCTTATAGCATTTCCTTTGCACATGTTTCCATGATTGCCAAGGCAGAGGAAGAGAAACTGGATGATGTCTCACTGGCAATGAAATGCTTTGATCCAGAATAAATGTGACCCACTGTGCTCACTGCCAATGGGCTAGAACTAATTGCATGACCTCCGCCTTCAAAGGGTGTGGGTATGAAAAAATGTAACCCTCCCATGTACTCAAAAGAAGAGATCTGAATACAGATGAACACAAGGAGTGTCTTCCATGGTATAATCTATTCTATTAGGTTGGTGCAAAAGTAATTATGGTTATGCCATTGAAAGTAATGGCAAAGCCACATTTTTGTTTTTGTTTTTTTGAGACAGAGTCTTGCTCTGTCGCCCAGGCTGGAGTGCAGTGGCACAATCTTGGCTGACTGCAACGTCTGCCTCCCGGGTTCAAGCAATTCTCCTGCCTCAGCCTCCTGAGTAGCCAGAATTACAGGTGCTCGCCACCATGCCCAGCTAATTTTTATATGTTTAGTAGAGACAGGGTTTTGCCATGTCGGCCAGGCTGGTCTCGAACTCCTGATTTCAGGTGATCCGCATGCCTTGGCCTCCTAAAGTGCTGGGATTACAGGCATGAGCTACCACGCCCGGATTACTTCTGAGCTAACTGAATAGGTTGCACATACCTTTTCCAAAATGCTTAGAACCAGAAGTGTTTCAGGTTTGGGTTTTTTTTTTTTCAGATTCTGGAATATTTACATATATGTGAGATATCTTGGAGAGATGACTCAAGTCTAAACACAAAATTCATTTATGTTTTTTATACAGCTAATACACATAGATACAATATTGTATATTTTCCCTAATTTGTGCATGAAACAAAGTTTGTGTACATTGAATCACCAGAAAAAAAGGAGTCACTATCTCATGTTGATGCTGAGAATATTTCAGATTTTGGAGCATTAAGAAGTTTGGATTTTTGCATAAGGGGTGCTCAATCTGTATAAGATTGCTTACTCTCTTGGAGGTTTGTGGGCCTGGATTCAAGGTCAGCCCCAGCACGTGTACATGTTATAAGTCCTCAGCCTCTGGCCTGATCAGAGGAAGAAAAGGCAGCCCATTTCAGATGCATTGACATCTCCGGGGCTGCTTGAAGCTGAGGTGCCTACCGGTGTTTGATGCCAGTTATGCTGTGTGTCTGAGAGCCACTGCCTTATTGCTCAATGCCGTGAAGGGTGCGTCTGAGCAAAAGCTTGGGCTGGCCACAGTGTGGCATTTCATCAATGCCCTCTCATCACTTTGATCTACAGTGTGTCCTGAGGGCCATCAGTCCCAGAAGAGTTTATCAGGCCCTGCTCTGGCTGTTTATGCCACATATATCATGGTGTGGAAAACACTAGATAGATCTGAGCCTTGGAGAACTAGAGGCTGGGCGAAGGCCTTAGGGCTCCTGAGAGTTACCAGATCTCCCGAAGAATCTGCAGAGAAGTTTTGCTTCTTGATTTTTATTTCTTTTTTCATCTTCCATATAATATCAGCTTTTTTCCCCCAGATGCTGACAGTGGGATACAAAGAAATAAAGTTTTTTAGAGTCAAACAAAAATGGATGTGCATTATGGCTTTGTACCCTGCTAGCTGTGTGTCCTGGGACAAGTTGCTTCCCATCTCTGGGCCTGCATCTCAGGACAGCTTCAAGAGGAAGCCAGCCTCAAGGATTACCCTACAGCCAATTCTGTGGCTAAGGCCTTAGCCTTTATGTAATGGGAACAAAATTGGCTCTCTGACTTCTATTGTTCTATGATTCCGTGACTCATAGAATTCTGAACGGGACCCAGAGCTTGGATACTGAGGGACCACCAACCATGATAGAGACCATCTGTATCAGATAAGATCCTTTTATTAATAGGCAACAGAAATATCAACTAGAACTGGCTTTAAAAGTACAGAAATTGGCCAGGCATGGTGGTGCAAGCCTGTAATCCCAGCTACTTGGGAGGCTGAGGCAGGAGAATCTCTTGAAGCCAGGAGGCAGAGGTTGTGGTGAGCCAAGATGGTGCCATTGCACTCCAGCCTGGGCAACAAGAGCAGAACTCCATACACTGAAAGTATACTTGAACAGTTCCAACTGTACATACTGTATGAAGCTTGTCCTCTGACTAGGTTTCTTATTTCTATGTGGAATTGCATATCTTGCAGCATTCCGTAAGTAAACATTAAAGTCCACCCTTTTAAAAAAAGGACAGAAATTTATCCCCCTATGTAATAGACTTCTAAGTAGGGTGGGTTTTAGCATTTGTTGCCTAATGGCTCAAGCGAGTCTTCAAAGACACAGATTCCTTCTTCTTTCTCTGGGTAATCCTTGAGGCTGGCTTCCTCTTCAAGCTGTAGCAAGATGTCTGTAGCTGTTTCAGTGATCAATTAGCCATGAAAACATCCAGACCAGGAATAGAGAGCATTGTTTTCAGTGGGGCTGTCCTGAGAGACAGACAACTTTACTGAAAGCTGCCCGTATTCTTCTCCTGTTGGCAAGAGGTGGGTCACACGTGCATTCCTTGACATTGCAGTTATTGGCAAGGGGTGGGATTACCTTAGAGCAAACAGGTCCTTCCACAGAGTCTGAGATAAGCTCAACTTGGGATTTGGCATGTCCAAGGTGTACCCGAAACAAAATCAGGGTTCTGATTGAAAGGAGGAAGGGTGACCGGATGGTAGAACCATCTTCTGTGTCTCAGTGACTTTATCACTTTCTCTTTAGATTATTAACTCAACCTCAAAAGCAATAGTTGACATATATTGAGTGTTTACTATATGCAGTCTCTGTGTCGAGATCTTTACAAGCAATTTCTCCTTTAGTCTTTACAACAGTCTGGGAATGTAGATACCAATAGCATGTCCATTTTACAGATAAGGAAGATGAGGTTCCAGTAAGATGACTTGCTCAAGGTCACAAGGTAAGTGTCAGAGTGCAGATTTAAGCCTTTGGGTGATTCCAAAGCCCAAGCTTTTAATTCCTATGCTACACTGTATTTAGAGAGAAAAAGGAAAAAAGTGGGTCATCTGTAAAACACCAGTTATGGCTTATGTACACATACATTTGCTATCTAATTTAATCGTCACAAAACACCAGCTATGCAGTCATTATTCTTTGTGCTTTATATTTTGTGAAATTAAGTCTCAGAGAGGGTATTTAGCTTGCCAAGAATTTTATAACCAGCAAGACACAGAGACCTAAGTCCATATGAGATGACTGTTTCAGAAAAAGGATGCTTTTGTCTATAAAGAATGGAACAGCCAATGAAAGGTGCCCTAAACAATAGGAGATTTTATTTTCTATTAGGACCAGAAGAGAAGTGAACCACTGCAGAAGTGGTTCAATAGCTCAACAATAAAATCGAAGACCCAAGGTCTTTCTGTATTTCTGTGGTGTTAATGTCTCTTCTCATGGTGGCCCAGCCTCCTTGTCTTCATTCAAACTTGTTCTAAAGCAGGAAGGGGCAAGGGCAGGTCAGTGAATGAAGCTCTTCTAGTGTACTTCTCTCTTTTTATTAGGAAGAAAAAGTGTTCCCTGATGTTCATGACCGGATTCCCCTTGTATCCCATTGGCCACAATGGAATCATGCAACCAGATCCCAGCTGCAAGAGAGGTTGAGAAGGTAAATGTTTGTGTTTTTGGTTTCTGTGGTTGATGGCAGGTTCAGTGGTTTAGAAGAGGGGAAAAAAATAGACCTTAGAATGACAACCCATTGTGTCAATCACAAACTCCCAAGGTCTTCCGAGATATGGTCTATATCTCAATTCTTTGTATTCTGATAGCCTAGTGGAGCACACAAGTTTTCAATAAATGCTTATTCAAATAACGGGATGATTTAGAAAGTTTGGAACTCTCTTGGGGATTTTGGAACAGTGACCATGGATAAAAAGATGAAATTACGGATCATCTAATGATCTTTTCTCTGACATCCTTGCTCTTGCCTGTTAATCGTTTTGACTTCTGGCCAGTGAGCTGTGCAGTGAGAAAATGCAAGTAGACAGAGAAGAAAAGGAAACTCAGTTTTCTTCTCTGTGATATGTGTAAGAATGAAATACAGCTTGTCTGTTACAAAGCTCCAGCATTCCTTCTTGGTTCTGGGTTTAGGGACACTCAGAACAGTGTGACTTGGACCCCACCATGCAGGGCACTCCCAACTTGGAGGACCTGCTCTGAGATGTCAGAGCGATGAAAAGCAGTTCTACTAAAGACTGCTGGGGCATGCAGTCAGAAGTGTTCCCTGGGACAAGAGATTAGATTGGCAACTAGATGGCTTAAGAGAGAGAAATGAAGGTCATTCAGGTGGACACTTTACTTATGCCTGGGTGTTGAGAATGGGGTTCAATGAAAGAAGGTTTTAAGAGTCAAACAAAACATGAATGTGAAGTATGACTTTGCACCCTGCTAGCTGTGTGTCCTGGGGCAAGTTGCTTTCTGTCTCTGGGCCTGCATCTTTGCCTTTATGTAATGACAAGATTGGCTCTCTGACTTCTATTGTGCTGTGAGGTTGGATATGGAGGCAGCACCCTGTCAGAGGCCATCTATGTCAGATACGATGCTTTGGTTAGTAGGCAACAGAAACATTGACTTGAACTGACTTAAAAAGTACAGAAATGTATTGCCCTGTGTAATAGACTTCTGGGTGCAGACGTCTATCCGGAAGTCTGTTACACAGGGCAATAAATTACTTCAATTCTTGGTTCAGGCCTAGATTCACCAGCCTTTGAGCCTGCCTAGGGTTTCCCAGTGAGAACCTTCCCTTGCAGGGCGATTACAAGTGCAGCTTCCAAACCAGCAGTTCTTGGTTGTGGCTGCACATTGAAATCATTGTTGGTAGCTGGATGGTGGTGAGTGGGTGAGCTGTAAAAACTATCGATGCCTGAGTCACTCCCAAAGATTCTAATACAGCTTGCAACCTGCCATGACTATTTTATGCCCTCCGCTTTTTTTTTTTTTTTTTTTTTTGAGATAGGGTCTCATTCTGTCACCCAGGCTTGAGTGCAGTGGCGCATTCTCAGCTCACTGCAAACTCTGCCTCCCTGATTCAAGCGATTCTCCTGCCTCAGTCTCTCAAGTAGCTGGGATTACAGGCATGTGTCACCATGCCTGGCTAATTTTTGTATTTTTACTAGAGATGGGGTTTCATTGTGTTGGTCAGGCTGGCCTGGAACACAAGTGGCCTCAAGTGATCTACCCACCTCCGCCTCCCAAAGGGCTGGGATTACAGGCATGTGCCACCATGCCCAGCCCTGCCACGGTTATTGTTAACAGTTTCTCCAGGTAATTCTAATGTACAGAGAATGTTGAGCACTGCAGCTCTAGGTTACTGCCTGCCTTCAAATCCTGATTCTGTCACTGGTTGTGCAATCTTGGGCCTAAGTTCATTAACCTTTCAAGGCCACATGTCCTCATATGTAAAATGGGGCTAATGACAACTGTGGGAGTATTATGAAGGCAACTGGGATAGTTCATATAAAGCGTGATGCCTTTCCCATAGTAAATGCAAAATAATGCTTTACCATCAGCATCACCGAAGTCACTGTCCTGCCAACACTTACCAAGGTGAGTGGACTCCACAACCATGAATAACCCATTGTCTCAGCCACTCCTGAGACCCCTGCTGTTCTGATCCACCTTGGGAAACCAGACACGTTGGACACTTGTGATTGTCTGCCTTGTAAAAATTCTAGGCTTTCCAGAATAGACATCTTGGATATTTCCTCCCTCCCTTTGGTAACGGAATTCCAGTCCCCCTTTGGGGAAACCATCTTTCCTCTACTCTTAGCCCCCATATTTTGCCCATTTCCTGTAATCTCTCATTGGCTAGAATGGAATCACATGGGAAGACTGCAGTTGCAAGAGAGGTTGGGAACATAAGGGTCTGTGTTTTTAGTTTCTGATATTGAAGGCAGATTCAATTGAACCCAACCTCCCTAGGGCAGGTAAGGTCACCTACAGTCGGGAGCTCTTAGCTTGGAGCATCTCAGAGCAAGTGCCCCAAGTTGGGAGCTCCTAGCTGTGTAAGTGACCCAGGCTTGTGAAATAAGAATGAAACCAACAAAATTTTGCTGCTTCACTTGGGAAAGAAGCTTCTTACTTACCCTGGCATTGCTAAACTGGGGGGATGTAAGCCTGCATCTTCTGGAGACCATCTATGCAACCAGCAGATGAGAACTTGTCTGAGAATAAAATCTACATGGGGAATCAGATAGTGTGATGAGGACATGTGTATTCCCCATGACATAAGTGTAGCACCTGGGTTCCATAGCACCTGCAACTTGATCTAACCATGGACTTTTCACAGTCAGAAGCTGCTTTGCCCTATATATTACTCAAGTCTCCTTGAGATGGGCTTGACATCCAATTGAAACAATTTGATGAATATCTCTCACCTTGGCCTACTGGTCTTCCCCAAGGCCAAATCCTATGTCCTGGTGTTACATCTTGTCTTTATCCAAGATCTTCACTAACTTTTTTTTCTCTCCACTGAGAGTATCATGGGGATTCAGAGCTGGTTCTGTCAACCTTCGATGGGCTCCACATTCAAAGATACCCACATTGTGGCCAGGCTGTCTGTGTGAAGAAATAAGATCATCTGTATTCTCAGAGTGAACCAGGACTGGAGCAAAACCTCAGGTTACACGAAACAGAGGTATGGACCCAGGAATAGGAGGGCACTAGGCTACCATTGCAACCCTGCTCCTAGCAAGCCATCCTGCATTTTGTATTTGGCTCTGAATATTATCCTGAAAAACAGCTGTCGATCATCAAGAGGGACTGAAATGGTAAAAGGACTTCACGTAATGTCATTTGAGAGCAGATGAATGGCTCCAGAGAGATAAAAGATAGCTTACCGTTTGTTAGAATGAAGAGTTTTAAAATTTAATTTGTCATGATCAAAGTTCTCTAGGGATGGAGTGAACCAACTTACAAGGTAGTAGACTTCTCATCACTGAAGGTATGGATGTTGAAACAGGCTAATTGGCTGTCATGGGTATTGAAGAAACTATTTTCAGGACAGTGAATAGGGGCTGCCTTAGTTCTGGTCACCCCAGAAGCAAATTCTGATCAAGGATTTATACGCAAGCATGGTTGACCCTGGAACAACACAGATTTGAACTGCACAGGTCCACTTATTCGGAGATTCTTTTTCAATAAAAATGACACTGAGTGTGCCTGCCTGCCTCTCCTGCTTCCCTTTCTACCACCCCTACTCTTTTACCACTGTCATTCCTGAGACAGCAAAACCGCCTCTCTTCTTTGTCCTCGCCATCAGCCTACTCAACATGAACACAAAGAGGAAGACTTTTATGGTGATCCACTTCCACTTAATGAATAGGAAATATATTTTTCTCTTCCTTAGGATTTTTCTTTATTTTTTTGTTTTTATTTTTTTCTTTGGAGACAGGGTCTTACTCTGTTGCCCAGGCTGGAGTTTGGTGGCAGGTCATAACTCACTGCTGCCTTGAACTCTGGGCTCAAGCAATCTTCCTGCCTCAGCATCTCCTGTAGCTGGGACTATAGGCATGTGCCACCACGCCTGACTAATTTTTAAATATATTGTAGAGATGGGATCTCACTCTGTTCCCCAGGCTGGTCTCAACCTCCTGGCCTCAAGTGATCCTTCTGCCTCGACCCCCCAAAGCTCCAGGATTATAAGCATGAGACACTGTACCTGGACTCTTACAATTTTCTTAATACCTTTTCTTTTCTTTAGATTGCTTTATTGTAAGAAAGAAGTATGGAATACCTAGAACATACATATAACACAGAACATGTGTTGATGAACTGCTTATGTTATTGCTAAGGCTTCCAGTCAACTATAGGGCATTAGTAGCTAAGATCTGGGGAGTCAAAAGTTATATGTGAATCTTTGACATTGCAGGGGTTCACCACCTGTAGCCCCCATGTTGTTCCAGGGGCAACTGATCTCAGGAAACACCTTGGGAAGGAGGGAAGTGAGACAGGAAAGGAGAGGAAGCCAGTCAAGGATGCATTTGTGAGCCCACTACTGCAGTGGAGCCTCTGAAAGAACTGCCCCTTTTCAGGCTGAGGGAGCTGGAGTGCTTTTCCACTAAGCCTCGATCCTCGTGGCTGAAGTTCACGCCAGGGACATTAACACTCAGGCACATCCAGTCTACTCCAAGGATGACAGGAGCATTTTGATCTGCCAGAGTGTGTTGGTCTGTTTGGCATTGCTTGCAAAACAATTACCCAAGGTTTTTTTTTTTTTTTTTTTTTTTTTTGCCAATCAGTTTGAGCTTATGAGGTTGCTCAGGTTAGCCTTGAACTGATGACCTCGCCTTCGCGAGCGCCATGACCTCCGGCGGGAACCAATTTGGACCCCTACCCAAGGTTTTATCAAGAAATACTCAAGGCTGGGTAATTTATAAGGAAAAGAGGTTTATTTGGCTCACTGTTATGCAGGCTGTACAAGCATGCCACCAGCATCTGCTCTGCTTCTGGTGAGGCCTCAGGAAGCTTTTAGTCATGCTGAAAGGCAAAGGGAGAGTAAGCGTGTTACATATTAAGAGAGGGAACGAGAGAGAGAGGAGGAGATGCCAGGCTCTTTTAAACAACCAGCTCTCTTGTGAATTAACAGAGCGACGCTTCAGTCATTACTATGGATGGGAAGGACACCAGGCTGTTCATGAGGAATCCCACCAGGCCCCACCTCCAACACTGGAGGTCACATTTCAACATGAGATTTGGAAGGGATACACATCCAAACCATATCACAGAGACAGTCCTCAGGCAGAGAGACATAGGAAACCATTCCCCTGTATGGGAACCATCTGCCGTGGCCCCCAAGTAGGCCTGAGGGGCTGAGAACAGAGCACAGGCATCTGCTATAGGAGCAGAATTCGGAGTGTTAACTGAAATCCCCTGGGCTGGATTCTGCCTGTAGTGTACATTCCTCAGCATGCTCAGTTTTTTTTTTTTAAGACAAAGAATATGAAAGAAAATCTCAAATTCCTACATTTCTCCAACTTTCTATTTTCTTGCAAACATCTGGCCTCCTTCATTCATTTCCTCCTCTTGCCTGGACCCCAAAGGTCTCAGCCTGCAGGACCCTACATGAAATGCTCTGTGATGTCCCTTCTCACACCATCTGCATCAGGATGGTTATTGTTTGGGAATGTTCTGGTAGCCCTAAGTGATCCTTAGGAGCAGAACAGAATGTCTTTGAAAGTACATAGACTCGACCCCCTTGGCATCAACCAAGTTCCTATGTGTCCCTGTTGCTCCTTAGAACTGCCGCCTGTGACTGTGGAGCCAGCTTCTCCCAAAGCATGTTGATAAGAACAATATTGTATATTGTTTTATAGCCAGTAAGGCACTTTATAAGTTGACAAGAATGATATTTGTACAGCACTCTATAGTTTGTAAAGCACTTCATACATTGGCAGGAACAATATTTGTACAGCACTTTATAGTTTGTACTTTATACATTGACAAGAATAATATTTGTACAGCACTTGATAGTTTGTAAAGTACATTATATGTCTCATACAGAGCTGTTTATTTTGTAAAGCACTTTATACATTGACAAGAACGATATTTGTACAGCACTTTATAGCTTGCAAAGCACTTTATACATCTTGTACAGCACTTTACAGTTTGTAAAACACTTTATACATTGACAAGAATGATATTTGTACAGCACTTTATAGTTTGTAAAGCACTTTATACGTCTTTTACAGCACTTTACAGTTTGTAAAGCACTTTATAGCCTGGACAGTAACATGGCTCTTTACACCTCCATGTGAAGCAGTCAAAGAAATCATTGAAGCTTAGCCCTTTTGTTGACGAATGAAAGAGTGAGCCTGGAAGAGTGAAGCCTGGAAGAGTGAGCCTGGAAGAGTGAGCCTGGAAGAGTGAAGCCTGGAAGAGTGAGCCTGGAAGAGTGAAGCCTGGAAGAGTGAGCCTGGAAGAGTGAAGCCTGGAAGAGTGAGCCTGGAAGAGTGAAGCCTGGAAGAGTGAGCCTGGAAGAGTGAACCTGGAAGAGTGAAGCCTGGAAGAGTGAGCCTGGAAGAGTGAGCCTGGAAGAGTGAAGCCTGGAAGAGTGAGCCTGGAAGAGTGAAGCCTGGAAGAGTGAGCCTGGAAGAGTGAACCTGGAAGAGTGAGCCTGGAAGAGTGAGCCTGGAAGAGTGAGCCTGGAAGAGTGAACCTGGAAGAGTGAAGCCTGGAAGAGTGAGCCTGGAAGAGTGAAGCCTGGAAGAGTGAAGCCTGGAAGAGTGAGCCTGGAAGAGTGAGCCTGGAAGAGTGAACCTGGAAGAGTGAACCTGGAAGAATGAAGCCTGGAAGAGTGAGCCTGAAGAGTGAAGCCTGGAAGAGTGAGCTATTTTGCCGAGCCAGATGTATAGCCTGAGCGGCCTGCTCTCCCACTGCCCAGGCCTCATTCTGAACAGTGTGGGAGGCTTCTTTACCCCAGCTTGCATTCCGAGGCAGGTTTTGGAGTATGTGGGCTGAGAAGCAGAGACTGGCAGCAAGATGTGGGCTCAGGAAGCGGGAGGAGCCACGCAGAGAACGGGGGTGAGGGGAGCCACAGGGGGAGGTGAAGGAGGAGGCATTTTTGTCACCGTGAATCACATTTTCCACTTGAAATAGGAGCTGAGACTTTCTGAGGGGGCAAAATGCAACATACAATGGAGGTGAGCAGGTGGGAAATTACATGGCTCATATTTAATTATGCAAAATCCCATAATCCCTCAGGGAGCACAAAGGACATGAGGTGGTGATTTTCCTCCTCTCATAATCTTGGAGCCACTTTATTAAATGACAGAAAGAATAATGCGGCCAGGGAGGAAAAAATTATGTGGTCAGAGAACTAAAGATAATTTCACAGCTTTCGCATTCCATTCCACGCCTTCCTTCTTGGCTGTTCTGAGCTGCAACGCTGGCCTTAATGTAAGGATAAACAGGTATCCTTACAGCATCATAGAGACATGCACAGTCTTTAGTTTAGAACTCCACATCCCCTTATTTTACATCTAATGTTGAAAGAGAGTGAGCCTGAGCTACAGAGAGAGAGAGAAAAAATAGCTGCTTCTGCTAATTATGGTCTTAGTTGTGTCTTCCCCCCCAAATCCCAAATTAATATGTTGAAGTCCTAACTCCCACCACCTCACAATGTGACTGTATTTGCAGATAGGGTCTTTAAAGAGGGGATTAAATTAAAATGAGCTGTTTGAGGTGGACTCCATCTGACTGGTGTCCTTATAAAAAGGGAAAAATTGGACACACAGAGACACCACGAATGCAGACACAGAGCAAAGACCACACGGGGCACAGCAAGAAGATGGCTGTCTGCAAGCCAAGGAGAGAGGCCACTGGAGAAACTCAACCAGCCAGTACCTTGACCATGGACTTCTATATTCCAGAGCTGCGAGGAAACAAATGCCCACTGTTGAAGCCACCCAGCCTGTGCTTTTTGTTAGGGGAGCCCTAGAAAATGAATGCAGATTTTGGTCCGGAGAAGTGGGACGCTGATGTAACCAGTGCCTAAAAATGTGGAAATGCCTTTGGTGTTGAGTATTAGCTAGAGGCTGGAGAGTTGTGAAGCACATGGTGTTATAGAAAATGCCTAGATCGTGGTGGAGAGACTCGATAGAAATATGGATGCTAAAGCTGCTTCTTTGAGGCCTCAGATGGAGATAAAGAACACGCTATTGGACACTGGAGAGGAGGAGATCCTTGTTATAAGTGGCAAAGAGCTTGTCTGAATTGCGTTCTAGTGTTTTGCAGAAGGTGGAACTTGTGAGTGAAGCACTTGGATATTTGGCAGAGGAGATTTCAGAAATCAAAACTGTGGAAGCACAGTATTGAGGGTGCAGCGGCTTTCTCCTGATTGCTTATGGTAAAATGCAACAGGAGAGACAGACATTGAAGAAGAAAGTGTTAAGCAACACAGAACCAAAACTCAAAGATTGGGAAATTTCTCAGCCTACCCATATTGCAGAAAGTGAGAAAGCTTGTTCTAGAGAGAATCCCAAGGGTGTGACTTGACAGTCACATGAGAAAGAGACTGTGGGTGTCACTCAGGGATCTCCCAACCATCTCAGCCTGGGTACCCATCAATGATGGATTGGATAAATAAAATGTGGTACATATACCCCACGGAATACTATACAGCCGTATAAAAGAACAAAATCATGTAATTTTCAGCAACATGAATGCAGCTGGAGGCCATATTCTAAGTGAATTAATGCAAAAACAGAAATGCTGCCAGCTTGGACTGAAGCTCAGAGATGAAAGAAAGGCTGTCAGACAGGCCGGGCATCGTGGCTCATGCCTGTAATCCCAGCACTTTGGGAGGCCAAAGCAGGCAGATCATGAGGTCAGGAGTTTGAAACCAGCCTGAACAACGTGGCGAAGCCCTGTCTCTACTAAAAATACAAAAAAATCAGCAGCTGGGAGTGGTGGTGGGCACCTGCAATCCCAACTACTGAGGCTGAGGCAGGAGAATCGCTTGAACCTGGGAATCAGAGGTTGCAGTGAGCCAAGATCGCACCACTGCACTCCAGTCTAGGTGACAGAGTGGGACTCTGCTTCAAGAAAGAAAGAGAGAGAGAGGGGGGAGAGAAAGAGAAAAAGAGAAAGAAAGAGACAGAAAGAAAGAAAAAGAAAAGAAGGAAGGAATGAAGGTCATCAGACTTCTGGGATTCTACAGGGCAGGACATTAGAGTTACCCAGGGAATAGCAGTTGTTATCCTTCAATAAAAGAAAAGAATGACCACAAAGGCAAGGCTACTTCCTTGTCGTTCCAGGTAACGACAAGGGACTCATGAACCTTTCTTCTTTTTCCCCTTTGGAACTGGAATGTCCATATTATGCCTGTGTCACCATTGTATTTTGGAAGAAGATAACTTTTTTGGTTTAATAGGTTCACAGCTGGGCCATTCACAATAGAAAGACATGGAATCAACCTAGGTTCCCATCAGTGGTGGGTTGGATAAATAAAATATGCTGTGTTTACACCATGGAGTAAGACACAGCCATAAAAAGAACAACAGCATGTCTCTTTCAGCAACATGAATGCAACTGGAGGTCACTATGCTAAGTGAATTAATGCAGTAACAGAAAATTGAACACCCTAAGTTCTCACTTATGAGTGGGAGCTACACCTTGGGTACGCATGGACATAAAGCTAGGGAACAATAGACACTAGGGACCCCCAAAAAAGGGAAGAAGAAAGTGGGAAAGAGCTGAAAAACTACCTATTGGTGCTGGGCATTGTGGCTCACACCAGCGATCCCAGCTACTCAGGAGGCTGAGGCACAAGAATCCCTTGAACCTGGGAGGTATAAGCTGCAGTGAGCTGAGATTGTGCCACTGCACTCCAGCCTGGGCGACAGAGCGAGCCTCTGTCCCCAAAACAACAACAACAACAAAATAACATAACAAAACTATCGGATACGATGCTCGCTGTCTGGGTGACGGGATCACTGGAAGCCCAAACCTTAGCATCATGCAGTATACCCTTGTGACAAACCTCCATGTGTACCCCCAGATCTAAAATAAAAATGAAAAAAAATAGCTTCACAGCTTGAGAGGAGTTCTGCCTCAGAATGAATCACACCTTAAGTATCAGCCACACCCGATTTAGATAAGATTTGGAACTTAGAATTCATGCCAGCACAGGTTAAGACTTGCAGGGTGTGGGGATGAGGGTGAATGTATTTTACACGTGAGAAGGATGTGAATTTTGGGAGTCCAGAGGGCAGAGTGTTATGGGTTGAATTGCATTTCCACAAAATGTATATGTTTAAGCCCTAACTGCAGTACCTCAGGATGTGACTATATTTGGAGGGGAGGTCTTTAAAGAGGTGATTAAGTGAAGAGGAAGCTGTTAGGGTGGGCTTTAATGCAACCTGACTCATGGCTTTGTAAGAAGATGCAATTTGCACACACACGGAGACTCCCTTAATGTGGGCACACAGAGCAAAGACCATGTGAAGACATGGAAAAGGAGGGCATCTGCCAGCCAACGAGACAGGCTTCAAAAGAAACTAAACCCGCTGGCTCCTTGACCTAGGACTTCTTGCATCCAGGACTGTGAGAAAGTAAATTTCTCCCGGTTAAGCCAGCCAGTCTAGACGTATTTTGTTATGTCAATCGTGGCAACCTAATGCACTGCAAAAAAGAGGACCAGGTTGAGAGCTAGACTTGAACCTTGATTCTGCCTGGGGAGGCTGCTGTCTACACACAGGAATTCCACTCTCCAGGCAGCAGTGACTGCTGGTGCGTGCTCCAAACTGGGTTTAAAGGATTGACTCCAATGTAGATGCTTCCCCATGGTCTTGGACAGCCAAGCTGGGAGGTCACTCCTCCAAACTGTCCTTGGCAGACTGAGTGAGTGATTGGAAGAGCTAAGCTGGGATGCTAGCCTGCAATGGACCCACGTCTACTCTGCGTGGCCAAGTGGAGGCTGTGTTTAGACTTCCCGAGATCCAGAGAGAACTGGATTCTAACCGTCTCTACAAAAGATTGAAAATAAATAGCTGTGCACGGTTGTCACTGAGTATCTCAGCCTCAAAATAAATTTTAAAACTTTTTGTTTTTTTCTTTTTTGCTTTCAGCCTCGAAACATACTTTGGGAAACTCCTTGTTCCTGCCTTTCCCACCAGGCACTTCAGTGCTTGCTTATCTAATTATGTGCTTGCTTAGAAATTCCAGGGGCCAATTTCGAAACAAAGGAGGCAGAGAGACCCAGCTGCAGAATCCTCCCTCTTAGGGGAAGTTACAGTTAGCCCACCACTTCCGGGTTGAAGTCGGGGTAATGCAAACCAGATCCCCAGATGGTTGATTCCTCAGGATAACACTTGGGAACAAGACAGGCAGACCCACACCCTCTTGTACCACTCTGCTGTGTTTCCCACACCTTTTCCTTGTTAAATCCCTTCACTCAGCCCACAGGACTGAGATGTCTTCCTTGAGGTGGAATCCTGGTTATCTCCCATCTGCTGGCATTTGATTAATAAAGTTGCTTTATTTTCACCAGACCTGTCTTATATTTTCAGCCTCTGAGCAGTGAGCACCTGGACTTACATGATGGTACATGAGTGTAGGCCCAGCTACTCAGGAGACAGAGGCGGGAGGATCACTTGAGCCCATGCAGTCAAGGCTGCAGTGACCTATGACTGCACCATTTCCCTCCAGCCTGGGCGACAGAGTGAGACCTCATCTCTAAAAAAAAAAAACCAAAATCAAACAAACAAAATTAAAAAAAAGGATTTCATTCGCAACACAACGGATTCAGATTTGATCTAGAGAAGATGTTTCGAGCAGGGAAAAGGTACATCCCAAATGGGCCCTAAAGAGTTTGCAAGCAGCCCAGATGATGGCCCTATAGGTGACAGGGGTCAGGACACAGGTCTTGGTCTCTGGGTGCAGAGGGGTAGGTCCTAGATGGGCTCAATTCTTCAATGGTTTCCCCGAGCACAAATTCAGAATTCCTTCTGCTCTGGTGGGAACCCTGAAGTGGAGAGATGCACTTTTCAATCACTTTAATTCCATACTGATGATTTTTTTTTAATTGTACTTTAGATTCTGGGGTCCATGTGGAGATCATGCAGGATGGTTGCATATTGATGATTTCAAAGTGGGCCCTTTCTTTACGCCTGAGCAGTAATTGGCTGTATAAGAGGAAGCCTCCATGCAGAGCAGTGCTAATAAGACATCGTCTCCTGAAATGTGCCTGGGCAGCAAGGAGCCGCCTGGCCGCTCCTGCAGCTCCCACAGATCTGCCAGGATCAACAAGCAATTGCAGAGTCCCCATGTCGGAGTGTTGGTCTTGTCCCCGTGGTGTGATATGATGATTACAGAACCACGGTAGAATATTTGCATAGCAAACAGCAACGTTTCCCTGGAATCATTAGAGAAAGCGAGAAAGAGCCAGAGAACCTGCCAGCCGGGAGTCTGGTCGGAAGCACTCCTGAGCCATCATGTATCCTGGGCCCATTGTGCTTGATAAAATAATGATGAAAATAATCTTAACAGGAAGTGTGCAGTGGCTCACACCAGTAATCCCAGCAGTTTGGGAGGCCGAAGTGGGTGGACTATGAGGTCAGGAGATGGAGACCATCCTGGCCAGTGTGGTGAAACCCCGTCTCTACTAAGAATACCAAAATTAGCTGGGTGTGGTGGTGCATGCCTGTAATCCTAGCTACTCGGGAGGCTGAGGCAGGAGAATCGCTTGAACCTGGGAGTCAGAGGTTGCAGCGAGTCGAGATCTCGCCACTGTACACTCAAGCCTGGCGACAGAGCGAGACGCCATCTAAAAAACAAATCTTAATAATAGCTGCCTTATATTATATTGAGTCCTTATAGGATGGCTGGCATTGTCCTAAGCACTTAGCACGCATTATTTTATTCCATTTTCGTGACAAGTTTATTAGCTCCATTTTATGGATATGAAAACTCAGGCACAGAGTTGTGAAGTGACTTGCCAGTATCACACAGCTCAGGAGGAGAAAAGTGGATTTTAAATGAAGGCCCGTCTGACCCCAGAGCCTTAGGTCACAGCAGTTGAAATCAGACAAGGGACATTCCTGATGCATTTTACACAGTTATAATGATTATAATAACTATAGATTAGTGCATCAGCGACTCTTAACCTTTTCTAATACCCTCCTTTCTGTTTTACTTTAACACTCCCAAAACTCTGTTTGTAGAAAATATGGCCTTTTGGAGGCTTACACAACACTGTAATACCTGGGGCACAAAAACCACTGGAATAGCTAAGGTTTCTTTGCTCTCTGTTGACCATACATGCTGTAGATAAGAATTGCAGTGTGTTAGGTGGTCTCTGTAAATTCTATGAAATCTGGATATATTTATTAACTTACTAAAGAAGTCTGTACAGTTTTTAAGAAGTGAAGGAAGTGAGACACAGAGAGGCCAAGTGATCTGCCTGACTTGACACAGCTAGGAAATAAACTAGGCAGGATTTGAACTCCAGTAGTCTGGCTTCTACATAGAACTTCTTAAGCACTGCACCACCCCACTGGATTTCTGGTATGGGCTGTTTTTGTGTATATCAGATGTTCACACAAACCTCTGAGAGGAGCAATAAGCACTTTCCTCCTCCTCGGATGTAAGAGGAGACTGAAGCTGAAGAAGATGACGGGAGAGAACCTCTGGCCAAGAAGAAGCAGAACCGAGGTGTGAATTTAAGTCCTGGTTATGAGACTCCAGGCTTGACTTCCGTGGAGTACATCAGCTTCCTTCTTTGTCTCTGATCAGCTTCCTTCTTTGTCTCTGGGCTGTGCTGTCTCCCAGGCCGTTTGAGGCATGCCACCCTCTGCGCAGCAAAGCAACAATCATCCCCACAGCCCACACTCTGCAGAGAAAAGTTTCATCTCATTAGTCAAATTAAAACTTACTTCTGAACTCCGTGTATCTGTGTGATAGACTTCAAGCAAATTATAATTTTATTTATTTATAGCTCCCTGTCTCCCAGAAACTTAAATGGCAATATGTTATTGGGCTCATAAAAAATAAAAATAAAATAAAATAAAATGACACCTCGAGCAGTACTGTAACTAATTAAGGGGACTTCCAAACTGCTGTTAATTTGAGATGCTAAAATGTGCGCCAGCAGCAGCCAGCCTGAGTTCCCGGGGAGGACAGACTCACGCAGCTGTGGAGCTCAGATTTCACATTAAGTCAAACAATTATTTTGACGGGTAGAGTGAGCTCCATAAAGTGCTGTTATAATAAAATCCTTCTATTGCCTTGCCCAGGCAGGTTCACCCAAGAAGGGAGGTTGGGTGATGTGAGGGAGTTCACAAACCAGTGCAGTGCCTTATCTGGACGCAGACATTGCAGATGTTTATTGCAGAGCTCAGAGAGAGGGTCTGGAGCCTTGGGTGAAGCTCAGGAATGGCAGAAGCAACAAGCCAGATATGCATTTTTTAGAACCCACTGTTTTTTTTTTTTTTTTTTTTCTGCCAGCACTATTGTTTTTTATTTTATTTTATTTTTTGAGATGGAGTCTCACTCTGTTGCCTAGGCTCAAGTGCAGTGGCATAATGTCCGCTTACTGCAACCTCCACCTCCCAGGTTCAAGCTACTCTCCCGCCTCAGCCTCCTATGTAGCTGGAACTACGGGCACACACCACCATGCCCAGCTCATTTTTGTATTTTTTAGTAGAGATGAAGTTTCACTATATTGGCCAGGCTGGTCTCAAACTCCTGACCTTGTGATCCGCCTGCCTTGGCCTCCCCAAAATGCTGGGATTACTGGCATGAGCCATTGTGCCCGGCCAGTTGTTTTTATTTGAAAGAAAATTTCCAAGATAATGTAAATAGAGTTCCCACACACTTATTACCCAGTTTCCCCTAATTCTGCCATTTTACATAACCATGGTCATATTTTTATGCCAGATGCTCTTCTGGATACTGAAGGCACATCTGTCAAGAAAAACGGACATGATTCCTGTTCTCATGCAGCACACAGATTAGCTGGGGGAGACAGCGTTAGGATAAAGCCAGTGGTCACAAGTGCGGACCATGTTGCTGCTGCATCTCTCGGACGCCATCAAATTGTGCCTTGAAGGCCAGGCACAGTGGCTCATGTCTGTAATCCCAGAACTTCAGAAGGCTGAGGTGGGAGGATCGCTTGAGCTCAGGAATTTGAGGCTGCAGTGAACTATAATCACGCCACTGTACTCCGGCCTGGGTGACAGAGTGAGACCTGTCTCTTAAAAAATATATATGCGGGCTGGGTGTGGTGGCTCACGACTGTAATCCCAGCACTTTGGGAGGCTGAGGCGAGCAGATCACGAGGTCAAGAGATCGAGACCATCTTGGCCAACATGGTGAAACCCCACCTCTACTAAAAATACAAAAATTAGCTGGGCATGGTGGCACATGCCTGTAGTCCCAGCTACTTGGGAGGCTGAGGCAGGAGAATCGCTTGAACCTGGAAGGTGGAGGTTGCAGTGAGGTGAGATTGCACGCTCCAGCCTTGTGATAGCGCAAGACTTCATCATGTATATGTATAGGTATATGATGTATGTATATATATATATGTATATATATGCTTTAATAAATAGTAGTCATTGCAGCGGACCCTTGCAATTAAGTGAATGTGTGAATCAATGATGTGAGAATCATCCTGTGACTCCAGACTACAGAGGTAGGGCAGAGATGTGCTGCAGGGTAAGTGGTGGGAGCTGAGGACACAGTATCAAGAATCTCATAGACCTGCCTTGGACCCTTATTTGAGTGTGTTTTGGGATGAGTCACTTTGCTTCAAGAGCAGAAAATGGGGATAATGTCTTTTCCTTTAGATGTGGATATTCCTAGAGAGTGGATGTAATTGAGTTTTGCAAAAAAATTCCCTGTCCATGGCCCATGTTTGTAGTTCCAGCTACCCAGGAGGCTGAGGCTGGAGGATCCATTGAGCCCAGGAGTTCAAAGCTGCAGTGAGCTATGATTGCACCACTGCACTCTAGCCTGAGTGAGAGGATGAGACCCTGTCCTTAACCAAACCAAACTGAACCAAACCAAACAAAACAGTGTCTTGCTCAAGTGTGGGGAGCTGATGAGTGGTGGTGGCGGTGGTGTGTGTCCCTTTGGATGAAGGTGGTAGCATTCTAACAGCCCAGGACTTCATGTGTGCCCAGCTGCATCTCAGCTCAACCCGGCAACCAGAGGGATCCTGTTGAAAATGTTCCATCAAATCACGTCCCTCCTCTGTTCTAAACCTTCCACCGCCTCCTCCTCATGCTCAGGCCACAGGAAATCTTATAATCTTGCTTCCTGCTGCTTCTTGGATTTCTTCCCTAGCCACCAATTCCTTTGCTGTTCCTGGGCTGTTCCTGGAACAAGCCACTCATCTCCAGCCTCCAGGGATGTTCCCACTGCCTAGAAATCTCCATCCCAAGATCTTTGCTTAGCTCACTCCCTCCTTCTGTTCACATCCAGCCTGCTGAGAAATGTCCTTTGTAACCATCCAATGAAAGCACAGCACCTTGTTTTTGTTTTACTTCCAAAAACTTTTCACAACCTGAGAAGTTGTGGATTTAATTGTTTTCTTTCTCTGCCTTCCTCAGTGTAAGCTCCTCTGTCCTGAAGCCTAACACAGTGCTTGGTCTATAGGAGGCATTTAAGTAATATTTGTGGGGTGGAAGTCTATCTCTGTGTCTGAATTCTTCCTTTCTTTTCCCTTCCTTCCCTCCCTTTCCTCTTTCTTCCTTCCTTCCTTCTTTTGCTTTCCCCTTTCTATCTTCTTTCCTTCCTCCTAAGCAATTGTTTATGACCCCTATATTGGTCCTGACATAAAAGAAGGGGCTTTTCCAAGGGTTGTCTTCTGATGTTTATCCACCAAAGCCTCTTGCCCTTGCTGGAGTGAAGTGCCCGAGTTCACACGATGCAGGTCATCACTTCCGACTCCCACCCAATACATTCTCAAAGCAGACATCCCCTAGCCAACTTATTTCTTCTCTCTCTCATTCAGAAACTCAGGCCTGGGTATGAACAAGACAGACATGCATTTCCTGAGGCCTCTGGCTCACTCTTCCACTTTCACCTGT